CGGCAGCAAGGCCAGGTCACAGCCTTGGCCTCCAGCAGCTCACAGAGGTCTTGGTAGCACTTTTTTCTGTGCAGGTAGGTCACAGCCAGCACTGTAGCCCAAATACTTGGCTCCATGACCTGTAGGAGAACAGTGACTCAGACCAGCACATAGTGCTAAGCATTCCTCCTGCCCCCTCACTGCTTCCCCTCGCTTCCTTTGTGGCTTCTGGTTTCTGATCCCTTCATTCCTCTCTGCCTGCCATTTGGATGCCAGTGTTGCCACCAGCCAAGGGGTTTCCACTGCCCCAGGATGGCACGCTGCCACCATAAGAGGTTTTTCCATTACCTCACTAGGCGTCTTTCCCTTGATTTCAGCCTCATCAACTTCCAGCACAGAGGCCAAGCCTGAGCAGAGGGCCCCGGAGCCATCTGTGTTCTGCAGTGCCACCAGCTCCTGGCACTCAGCAATGGCTTCGGTGGACCAAAGCCCAAAAACTGGAGACCGCAAAACAAATTCTGTGGGGTTCACATACTTGAGAGAAGAAATAGATGGTGGTGGTGTAACCAGAGTGATAGAGTCTGCTAACGATAGCAATGAACAGCAAAAAGGGCTTGGGGGATTGATACCAATTATTGTATTTTTTTAATCTGTATTCTAGTCTCTAGGTAACAGTTAATGCTAACAAAATAGGAGACAATCTGTTTCTGTCAAAAGAGAATGATGAAGCGTGTTTTTGTGTAGCAAACTGAGAAAGCTAGCTAGGACTGCCAAGATTAAGAGCTGAACAGGTAAAAGGTAATTCTGACAGGGGGAGATTGCAACCACTAACCCACTGACCACCTACCCAAGTAACACCACCTACTCACAAGAGAACAATGGAAGAGGACGAGTGAGTCTACGCAAAAATTTACATGTGAAGCAAACAAATTTGCACCAATAACCAAGGAGAATAATAATGAATATGTATTAATAAAATAAATATGTATATTTTTGATTTATATAAACTGCTTGGAAAAGGTATGAAGTATGCACGTTCGGTGGAATTATCCCCCATGCATCCAGCGCTGCAATAAAGAATGCCTGCCTTTTAACACTACATTGGTGTTACGAGGTTTTAATCCCAGATTTTCGGTGACAGTATCTGGCAACCTAGTTGGGACCCCGCTTGTTAATACTAACGCATCCGTGGGATCACGGGACCTCCAGCCAGCATCGATTCTCAAGGAGAACCTCTGATCCCCAGACTGAAGGATTCCAAGTAATTCTCCTGGAATTAAACAATAAGGCATTCTTTTAACAGGTAATGGAGCTCTGGGTAGGAGCCTGCTTGTAAGGCACAGTGAAAGCCACGCAGGGTTGGTCTGAAGAGGTACCTCGGTTGGTAAGTTTCTGCTAGGTGAAAGCCTGTGGGGGCCCAAAGGGGGAGTCTTTAACGGGATGTTGAAGTCTCCAAGGTTGGGATTTCTGGCAGGGGGCTGGGATCCCAGAGGGAGCTCCAACAAGGGTTGGGGTCCCTCTGACTAGTGCCTGTAATAGTGCACAATCGCAACCACTAGTCTTTAGGGAGATGGGTACATTTCTGAGCAAAAAATCCATCCCACAAAGTACACCCTTGGGCTGTATTTTAAAGCATTGGAAAGATCTCGGGGGTGATCCTCTGACTTGTAAACAGTAAATTATTGTAATCATTGGTGGCCAAT